GATCACTCTATCACCACGCGAATCCTTTATATTGCAAATATGAATAATTATAGGAATGATTAACACAAAGAATAGGGATACCTATTTCAGATGATATTATCTTAAACAAAGTAAGATAGGTGATTAGTAAATGGAAAAGATCCCCAGTATTAATTAGTAAAAGATGTATGAGAAAGACTTGGTTGTGGGTTTGTTTTAATCACCCTTGAGATCAGATGGTTCAGACTTCACACTAACTTTTCCAAGCTAAGCACATAACTAAGTTATTCTGGTATTCCAAGACAAAACCAAATTCTCTAACGTCCAACAAAACAACAATGCAAAGGTTAATTGATCAATCATCCCGGAATCTCAAAATTACAAAATAAACAAAAAAGCCCAGTTGAGGGAAGAAGTTCGATAGCTTGACAGACGATCAAACAGAAAATTTTCCAAAATTCAAACAAACAAGAGTCAATTTCACCACCCCGACCCCACACCCCTAAAATAGTGTCAATCCTGGCTTCCATTTCCGACATTTTCTCGACAACTAAACAGGTAAAACGAGTATGAAAATAATAACAACCAAAGTCGATTTGAAAGAAAAAGAAAGTTTAATATATTACCTGAATAACTCAAAATACTTGGCCTCTATGAAATCAGACCTGAAATTCCGAAGAAAAAAAGGAATAAGAAGAAGAAGAATCACCAAATGTGAGAAAACCTTAATCAAGTTGGGGAAGTAGAGCAACCAAAATGAATTACAGTGATTACGATTAAAGTGAAACCAACGCAAGATTATAACAAAAAGAAAAGTGGAAATACCGAACTAAACAGCGACAGGATAATGGAAAAGGCAACTCGTGGCCGTTCAATATTTTTTGTGCTTCAGAATTTATGAAGAAGATGAAGATATTCGATCCGATAATATTTAAAAATTAAATAGAAAAACAAAAATACTTATTTAAAATTTAGTAAATTCATAAAGCAATTGGATCCAAATTCGTTGGCGCTTCTTTTGTGAAATGAAAAGGGCATCAGCGGGAGAGAGAAGGAGAAGGCGTATAATAGCCATTGGAGCACAAAAAGACTGAAACTGGAGTAGTGCACACTCCTGAGTTGTCGAAATATTATTGGTCCACGTATTTAAGTGGGACCCACTTAAGCGGAGACGTGGAGCCCGGCATCTGAGAATGTTGAGATAGTCCGGTCCGTTTGATTGACGGGAGGAACTAAAGTAGTGGAGACGGACGGAATAATTTTTAGTGACGGAAAAAAGAAATCCGGCATATTCTTTTGGATGTTCGTCGCCAAAATAAAATTATTCGGGGAATAAATTTATTGACATTCAAATTATTTTGTTTCTCATTCTAATTTTATTGAATTTAAATTTGAATTTGAATTAAACCTAAATATGGAGTAATTTATCAATAATATACTTAAATAAATTTGAAAATATAGTAAAATTTGTTTATTAGTACAACAATGATGTAATAAATTATCTCTTAATTTAAAAAAAAAAAGAATTTTAAATTGATAAAATTATGATTTTTTATATCATTGCATTTTATTATTTCATATAGAAATTTACATTAAACTAAATATTGATTTGTAAATAAAATTTATACAAATTTTAAGTTTGTTAAAATGCAATCTAAGAATTTCTATTGGTTAATTTTGGCATATCTAGAATTGAATTATTCAACGATAATTATGATTTTAATAATGAAATCCATAATTTAATGATTAATTTATTATTAATTACACTTTGAAAAAATATTGTTGTGAGTAAACCATAAAGTTCTATTTGAAATTTTCGCATAGTAATGTGTATTCTTCAAATAAATCTTGATTATAGAAATTAATCATATATGGAATGATAATTTCATCTATAATTGCACATAGATCCAACAAATTTTTTTGTAATAATAAAATCAATATTTAATTTAACTTTAAATTATAAGGTCAATAATTTTACGATTTGATTAAACATACAATAAATATGAAAAAATGGTCGTCATCTTATCTTCTGTCTAATTATTTTGTTTATATAAATAAAATAGTTTTTTAAAAAATATTTTTATATATTATTATCTGTATTATATTAAACATTTCGTATATTTATTTTTTAAAAATAATCTTATTGAGTTATATTGAGAAAATTAGTTTTGTTTATAGCTTAATTTAATTTATATTTAGAAAATAAAAATTATTTAAAAAAAATTATTCTATTTTTTTATAAAATTATAGACAAAAAAATTTAATAAATAAAAAATAAAATTTTAGTACGTATAAAAGATAGGATATTCCCTACTCCATTAATATTCCCAATGGAATCATTACTAAATTATGGTAAAAATAATTTTTTCTAAAAAAATAAAAAATTATGAATTACAAATGACCATGTAGAATAGTTGTAATATAATCATTGAATGGGAGACACTTAAGCTAGAGCTTCAATAATTTAAATTTTCAAATAAAATTTTCAATTAATTTTTAATGTTTGTATGATATAATTTCAATAAAAATGAACAAAATAATTAAAATAAATAGATTAATTTAATAAAATTTAATCATACGAGTCATATTTTATTTTATAGTTTGGTAAAAATACGAAAAGATAGAGGGTTTAGATTGTTTTTAATAATTTTATTTATTTTGAATATTTTATTTATAGTACCCAATAAAATAAATACGTATTTTGGTTATTTAATTTATAAAAAATTAAATATAAAAAAATTTCAAATATATTATTATTATATTTAATGGTAGGGAAATTTTGAATGTTTTTGTTACAAGGGAAATTTTTTTGATTAATAAATAGTTAATTTGTCTCATGTTTACCCAAAGAAAAATTAGTAAATAAATTAACCAAAAACAAGGATAATATTCTTATTAGTGGGCCGTGTCTTACAAGGCCCACTAATAAGATTCGGCCGTGAGATCTATCCATCACCGCAAGGTAACGCAATACTTTCTCTCTCGAACTCCCTCCACCAAAACCAACGGCCAACTGGTTGAAATTTATCCCAAATGAAAAATGGCTTTGGAAGGAAATAGTAAAATAACATATTGCCACATTTTGTCTTGTTTCACCTTCTGAAGCTAGAATCATGGCTTGGAATCATTATACACTCACTTAGACAATAGCAATTCCGCGTTCAAAACCAAATTAGCAACCTTGTTTCTATCCTCGATAGCAAAAATTGACAGTGGTGGTTCTCACTTTCCATGGTGGAATTGGGTTTATCTTTTCTCCCGGCAAAAGTCGGGAATACCCCAATAACCACCCAGCTCAGTTATCGAATACCCTGGAATGAAAAAGGAAGATTTCTGTCTGCTCAGCTCAGTGGAATGGCAGTAGGGTTTGACAGTTCTCAGTTATTTGGTTGCGGTGGTAGTCAGTTGGGCAATTCAATACGTGGAAGTCAAAAACTCAGAACTCACTCTATTGAACATGTTAAACCTTTTGTTTTCGATGATCACCGGTTGAATTTGGGGGGCTACAGTCAGAAACAGCCGAGAAATTTCGTACCCAGAAATGTGGAAAGGAGTTTTCGTTTTTGTGATCCACTGAAAACCTCAGTTTCGGATGGTTATAAGCTCGGTGGTGTGAATGTCAAATTAGGGTATTCGGAATATGTTATGAGGTCAGGTTCCGTCTTGAGTGCAGAGACAGAGAAAAGTGAAGGGTCTGGTAGGGAAGATTACTATGATGCAATTGTTATTGGGTCAGGGATTGGAGGGTTGGTTGCAGCTACACAACTTGCAGTTAAGGGAGCTAGGGTTTTGGTATTGGAGAAATATGTGATTCCAGGTGGGAGCTCTGGGTATTATGAGAGAGATGGGTACACTTTTGATGTAGGGTCTTCTGTCATGTTTGGGTTCAGTGATAAGGTCAGTTCTTGTTGTTCATTAACTATTAATTTTTTCATATTTGTTAAAGGTGTTGATTGCCGTTTGCTTTTGGTATTAGAAAGATTATGATGGTTTGACCAATTTTGAAATGGGAGTATGATAAGTTGAATGAATAGTTGATTTGGATCGATAATTCCAAAAATTTAATCAGATAAGATATAGAAAAGTATGAAGTATAATTACGTTGATGTTAGTTGCCTTTTATGATATGCAAGTCTTACACACCTCGAGAAGAAAGTGCTCTGAAATAACTCTCTAAAACTCTAAGAGGGTAGACTACTTTTAGTAGCTTAATCTGCCTTTTTTTGGGAGTCTAAGCATTTAAAACTAGATCTTTAGTACCGTCATACAAAGGTTTTAGACCTTTCACCTCATCACTTCAGTGCAGTGGTTGTCAAGGCCGGATCATGTTTGTAAAAGAAAGCACATCAAAATTTTGAACTAGGACTCCTATTTCTCATTGTCATAAAGGTTGTCAGGGGTGTTTTTCCAATTCTCAGTGAACACGACAATACAGAAGAATGGTCTGATATTACAAAGTGGCTGTTGAAGGTGCCATCCAGTGATTAGACAGGACTGTGAATCAGTATTTCTGTATGGTATATATAGATACTACTCGTCAATTTTTTTCCATATCATTTACTTGTGCATTCCAACTTTTTATAGCTAAAGTTCCTAATCTGCTCATTTTTCTAATCAGTGAATCAAATCATGCACATTAGTATATATATATAGTTACAGGTGAATGGATCTTATATCTTGATTAACTTTCTATACAAAGAAGACAGGAATATAAGCCCACCACCTAATAGCTGAAGCCTAGCTTAGGGAAAAAGAATTTTGATGTCAGATGCTTTTCCTTTTTGTTCTTTTTTTTTGGAGTCAAATACCTTTCAACTGTGGGGTATCAATTGGATATTTTGAAGCAAAAAGAAACAAGAAATGGAGAGGAGTTAAAATATATTGTATGTGGAAACTTATGTTATGTGAGTAAAGCTCATGGAAAGACACCTAAAGCCTGCATATTGTGGCTGCTTTTCTATATCATATTTCACTTCGATTGTAAGGAGATGTATGTTTCTTACTGTTGAATTGCTTTCGTTTGTTACGTATTTGGAATGTTGAAATTTCAGGTTAACAACATCTTTTCTTTTCATTGTCAATGCTTTTCTTTATATCTGCTTTTGCCTTCAAAATCAGTGCTTGCCTCAAATCTGGACAGGGCAATTTAAATTTGATAACTCAAGCATTGGCAGCAGTTGGTTGTGAGATGCAGGTCATACCTGATCCTACTACTGTTCATTTCCATCTACCAAATGACCTTTCTGTCCGAGTACATAGAGAATACAGTGATTTCATTGCAGAACTTACCAGTAAATTTCCACATGAAAAGGAAGGAACCCAGCAATTCTATGGTGACTGTTGGAAGGTCTGCTCTGAATCACAGGACTGCAACTTCATGTAGCAGTTTGATCTTTTCTTGTGACCCATGACTTACCTTTAAAAGTTGTATATAATGGTTAGATCTTCAATTCGTTGAACTCCTTGGAACTAAAGTCACTTGAAGAGCCGATCTACCTATTTGGACAGTTCTTTCAGAAACCTCTCGAATGCTTGACCCTTGGTAATAATCTTTTACTCCTTTTCCCCTTCTGTCTGAACTACTTTGTCAAATGTGAAATGGTAGTCATAATGGTAGAGTTAATAGATGAGCATATGTTTTCTGGTTTGGTGCCTATCTCAAGGCATTGATTTTATGGCAAAAATCTACTTTGGTATGTGTATCTGTACATATCTTGTTGATCCATCCATGGTTGGTATATATATACTTTCCAAGTGTGAACTCATTGTTGGTATTTTTCTTAAACTGCAAGCACTAAAGTACATGAATGTTGTTATTTTGATGTCTATTGATTAAAGGGATATTGCTAGGGCTGTTATGCTTCAAAATGGGAATTGGAAAGTAAAGAAGTCATTATGGCCACACATTTTGCTGCAGTTTTCCTTTCACAAAGATTGTCATGTTGATTTGGGTCACTCCAAATTTCACTGAAGAAAAAGTTCTGCTGCATTTACATGATATCACATCATAATAGTGGCTGATAAGACACAGTAACTTGCACGTAATGATGGACCCTGATTTGTGTGTAGTGGTAGACCCTGCAGTCCTTATATGGTTCCCTTTTGTCTAGGTTGGACTCTCAGTGGGGATTTGCTTTTCGTACTTTTCTCCAGTCTCCTTCATGTGATTCATTTTTGTTAAGGTTTTTCTGCTAGAACATCTTGATTATTGAAGACTTCATATTTCTATATTTTCTGAAAAACCCTTGTGCACAATGGAGGCTTTTGAAGACAGAGTCCATTAAAAATTCCTTTTCTTTAATGGGGATGACCTGTTTTTATTTTGTTCAGCCTATTATCTGCCTCAAAATGCTGGAGACATAGCTCGAAAGTATATCAAGGATCCACAATTATTGTCTTTTATAGATGCAGAGGTGTGACAGAATCATTCCTTTGATCACCATGCTGGATGTTTTTTTGTTTTAGAGCTTCCGTTATCCAGTGAAGGCTGAAAATGCCTTGTTGCTTTTCTGCAGTGTTTCATAGTAAGCACAGTTAAGGCTTTGCAAACACCAATGATCAATGCAAGCATGGTAAGCTTTTTAATCACCTCTGGATCTCCCTTCTTTCTATTCTTAATCTTGTTCCTCTGATCCAGTTTGCACCAGGTTCTATGTGACAGACATTTTGGAGGAATTAACTACCCCGTTGGTGGTGTTGGTGGAATTGCAAAGTCCTTAGCAAAAGGACTGGTTGATCATGGAAGTGAAATACTTTACAAGGCAAATGTCACTGGCATTATACTTGAGCATGGGGAGGCGGTAAGTTTCACCCTTGTAGAAGAATAAATTGTTGTGTATTTTATTAAATACTAGAGACCTATATATACAAGTCCCTAGCAATCATACAAGGAACCCGAATTAATTACAAAGATTACAAGGGATATATTATCATTATACCCATACCCTACTTCTCATATAATACACTTCCCAGCAACCATAATATATGCATAACTGCTTCCAGAATCATTAAACTTCATGGTTGTATTGTGAAATTATTGTTTTTGTTCTTGATTTTAGTTTGATGTTTTTTTAGGTTGGCGTAAGGCTGTCAGATGGAAGGGAATTTTTTGCCAAAACCATAATATCAAATGCTACTAGATGGGATACATTTGGTATGTTCTGCAAAGGAGTTATATGCACTTTATTAATTGATCTGGCCATGTTTTGTCCCCACTCTTTTACTGGTTTCTTCATAAAATAGCAAACTCATACTTGCTTTGGTGTAGGGAAGCTACTAAAAGCAGAAACGCTTCCAGTTGAGGAAGAAAATTTCCAGAAAGCTTATGTTAAGGCTCCATCCTTTCTTTCCATTCACATGGGTGTTAAAGCTGGGGTTCTGCCACCTGACACAGATTGCCACCATTTTGTGCTTGAGGTATTTCATTTTTCCCACAGCTCCTGTGGCTTCTGTGGCACCTGATACAGATTGCATGGATTATTCAGGATAACTGGACTAGACTGGAGGAGCCTTACGGAAGTATCTTTTTAAGCATTCCTACGGTTCTTGATTCATCGTTGGCTCCCAGTGGTCACCATATTCTTCACATATTTACAACTTCTTCAATAGAAGACTGGGAGGTACAATCAAAGCAATCATTAATTATAAATTGCTGTTGATATTGATGTTATGTGAACGTAAAAAACTCGTCTCCTCTTAGTATCTTTGTGTTCCTTCCTGACCCTTCGTAAAATGTTAGCAGTGATGTTAATAAATGTTGAATATGTTGAATTTTAAGAATTGAGAGGCTTTTTTTAACCTTTTTTAGGGTCTCCCTCGAAAACATTATGAAGCAAAAAAGGAGATTGTGGCAGATGAAATCATTAACAGGCTGGAGAAAAAATTGTTTCCAGGGCTCAAATCGTCTATTGTTCTTAAGGAGGTATGGGCCATGCCATCATGCTATTAAAGTGTAAAGAGGCTTATAGATAGTTGTGATCAGTCCTCGTGAACATGGTTAATGGGATGGTTGAAATGGGTTCATGTGGTTAGCTGAATAGGGGTAAAGGGGAAATTGAGTTCCATTCTCTTGAAGTACATTAAAATTATGGCTTACTGGTGCATTTTGTAACAAGGTTTTCCTTGTACAAGCTCTTCTTGTTGTCTATGGCTCTCTGTTTAGCATAAAAGTGTCTGCAATTATGGCAGGTGGGGACACCAAAGACGCATAGACGATTCCTGGCCCGTGACGAGGGAACTTATGGACCAATGCCACGTGGAAATCCTAAGGGCTTACTGGGAATGCCATTTAATACCACAGTAAGTCATAATAAGTGGGTGCTTTAATTTTTCTTTTTTTGAGTGATGAATAATTGGCATGACTTAAGCTGTACCTGTCTACCTTGTGGAAGAAAGGCACTGACCACTAGGTCAGGACAGGCACCACCTGGTGGATGCTTTTTAATAAGTAGCTTTTAGTAAATTTCTGCTTTCTAAATAGACAGGTTAATCCAATAACTAAAATCTGCAGTCTATAAAAGGCCTTTATTGTGTTGGAGATTCCTGTTTTCCTGGACAAGGTGTAATAGCTGTTGCTTTCTCAGGAGTTATGTGTGCTCATCGAGTAGCTGCTGACATTGGTAAGAATTCCTCTCTCCCCATGGAATGGTCTTATCATCATTTTTGAAAGCTTGATTAGGTAAATACCAGTGGTGAAAAGATTCATTCAAACTTGCACCTGCTGTAGGAGATTTTGGCCCCTATGTTAACTTCTGCAGTTGTTTTCTGATCCATCTGTTTCAGTGTTTTAAATGATCATCTTAATTGGTTGGTTCAGTGACTCAGATGGCTGAACTTCTTTCTCATTTTCCTAATTAAGTTAGTTAAGAGGATATGAGGAGTATATAATGCTCATTAGCTGCAAGCCACCCGAAAAGTGTACTTAAATCGAGATATAACTTGTGCACCTTATATGGCATCAGTATACTCTTCCTTGAGGCAGTGCAGTGCCTGGACCTGAGCATTTTCTTTTTTTTTTTCTAATTCTTTCTTTTTAACCCCTTGTTTGCAATTTGATCAGGACTAGATTAAAATTAATTCTGTATGGTTGAAGCCCTAGTGATACCATAACAGAAGTAGAAACATCAAATAGTTGGTTAAATGGCCAATATGACTGAATAATTTTGCATAATCTTTTCCGAAGCAAAGTAGTCGAGAGGGAATAATGATGTTCATTGGGTATGAGTCTCTAGTCATTCAAATTGATCAGCAGCATTAGCTTATGTCTGTAAAATGAAAGCTCCAAACAGAGCCCACGATCGCTGCAAATTTTATTGCCTTATATTTTGTTTTCTCTACAGGGCTAGAGAAGAAGTCCTCTGTATTAGATGCCGCCCTTCTCCCATTACTTGGTTGGTTAAGGACATTGGCATAAGACATCATATGGAAAGATGACATATCATGATACCTTGGTTGGAGGAGCTACTGTAAAGGTGTGATCTACAGCAGGTTGGATGATGGAAACTACTACTGCAAAGCTATGATCCAGCAGGTTGAAGTATAGAAAGTTTCTCTCATTAGCTTTGCGGTTTTAATCCTCCATCGACCTCAAGTGAGGTTCATATCACTGGCAATCAGTCACTTCAGAGATATATCATATCATCCCCGGTTCCGAATAAGTTTGGTAACTGAATTCACTAATGTGCTGCTTCTAGCACTACAAAGATTTGCTTTAAATAATGTTCTTATTTGATGTGTAATATTGTTGTCACTGGGCTTAGCTTTGCAATAACAGTTCACGAAAATACAATCAAATTATTAACTTGGCTTGGCTAGACAAAATTTCCATTTGGAACTACTTTCAGAATTTATTCCCAGTTTCAGTCGGAAAGGCATAGTCTAGGTTAGTTACAGTAGATGGATTGTCTTTGATATAATAACTAGCCTGTAAATCCGAGTTTGTAATTAACCAAAATCTTTTTAAATTATCTTCATAAATTCCACACATTTGCCTACGATGCAACCTTCATTGGTTGCTACATGGGATGCATTGACAAAATTCTTAGAGGCTGAAAATCCAAAAAAATCAGGATTGAATATCCTTTGTGGATTTTCTTTTCACGATCCCTCAAACCCAAGCCTTTGAAAGATAGCTCTTGGACATGTGGATACTGGATAGTGATAGTCATCTTGTTAAGTTGTCGAGGTATACATTCTTCCAAATTTGTGGATCATCTAAGCGCCAGAATGGAGCTTCATCCTCCGCAATGAAAGGTATGCCAAGAGACGGTAGCCAAAAACCATTGCTACCAGGGCACTTACTTCCATTAGACCACTGTCTATTCTCATGCCATTAACTGTCGGCATGATGCATTCATATTGAACCTTGAGAAGAAGCTTGTAAGTGTGGTAGTTGAAAGACATGTAGCGGATCCAAGATATGAATACTGGAACTTTCTGCAGTGATGAAGAAAAATCCCTTGTCATTTCAACCCAATGTGTTCTAGATAACTGAATGCAAAAATGGACTTCTTTGATAAGTACAGAAGCGGTTTTTATTGCAATTATCTTTGGAATTTCTGTTGTTGAAACTTGTAAGGCCGAAGCATTTTCCTCTTCTTGTAAATAAAAATGTTCAGAAAATTGATTTTATTCTTCAAGAAATTTCTTTCTTACCTTGACAAAGTACCCTCCAGCCAGCATGAAGGTCATGACAGTTACTGATGCTAAAGTTGTGGCCCGCTTTAAGTCCATCAATGTAGCCCCAATAGCTAGTCCAAGTCCCTGATGCAGAAACCAGTCTTTAGCAAATGATATCAGGTATGAGTTTTTTCAGTTTTCTCTTGATGAGTAATTTCAAACAGGTTTACCTGGGCTGCAACAATGCAGAGAAAGACTGTAAGCATGCTTAGGAAAAAGGGACCGGCACTTAGTCTCAAGCCTGCCATGAAGTACACAACAAGAAGGAAGAGAACTGGTAGTAATAGGTCAAGTGGGAGGTCACTTGTAGTCCTAGCCACAAAGTATGCACTTAGTCTATACATGTCAGCTGCTCTTTCCTTGCTCAGCACGGCTCGTTCTTGAGGAAATGTGAAGATTGCAGTGAAGACCGGAAAGAATCCCCAGAAAACAGCAATGAAGAAAAGAAGCCCTGCCTGCAATACAGGAAGCTTAAGTTTCTAGGTTTCATAAATTCTGTCTGCAAGGAAAAATTCAATTTTAACTAATACCTTATGAATCAAATTTCAGCTTCAACTTTAAAGAGGTAAGTTCTGTCTACCTAAAAATTAAATTAGAAAGAAATGCCTCTGCATTATATATTTCCCTTTCCTTATAATTCATCGGCTATTAAACTCTGTTCTTACTTTATAATTTTTATCTCGCTCTGTGTCTGAAACCTTGTTACTGACTGACCATTTTTAAGGTGATGGTAGCTGATCAGATAAATTAAGAAATTAGATGAAGAATAAAAAACCTAAGGGAATTTAGGTGTCCAAACGGGTATAAACTGAGTAATCTGTAGCATTTTATGAGAGGCTCATTTTTGTAGCGGTCTATGGTTTTAGTTATGTGCTCTTCTAATTCTTTTTCTGAGTCAGTAAACCCTTCATCTTTTTCAAAGTGACCATAACAGATTCTTTTGGGGGGAACTTGAAAATATCTTGGAAAATTAGCGATTTAGTAAAACTTCTAAGCTGGATAAAGATGATAATTTACCTGATCTTGCAAGCTGTTGGGGCTATTACCATCTGACTGCCACCATAGTAGTCCTAGAATGACTGCAGTAGACAAAACTTGAGTGATTCTCAACCAGCTGAAATAATCATGTCGTCGTTCTTTAATTCCTCTCCAGAATAGTATGCAATATTGCTCCCACCAGCTTGTCCCCCATTGTCGCTTTTGGGACGCAACTTTTGATTTAACTTCATCATCAAGTGGAATAGGAACTGTAAGTTTCTTTTTCTCTTTTTCTGCTACTCGTGTCTCATATGCCTCCACGAGGTACTGCTTTTAATGGGAGAAGACTGTTAGGAAAGTGGTAGTTCTTTTTCTTTTCTTTATTATTATTATTTTTTTTTGAGAAGGAGAGCATAGTAGTTTTTGATATTGGAGCAGTAATGAAAATTCTATAAGTCAAGAACTATTAACTGTAAGCTATTCTGCTGTCTACTTGTTAATGAGCGAATCTAAGCAGCCTAAAAGTTCACATGTGGTAATATCTAATCAAGGAAAGGAATGTGCAACCTAAATGAGACACCTACCATATTTTAATGTTCCAACTTGAGGATATTTTCTCTCAAGAAAATGATCCACAGATTATTTCAAAAAAAAGGGAAAATGATCCATATAAACTGTTCAGTCATCTGATCTATATACCAGCAATAATATGTTTCTTGGAGGAATTTTGAGGAGTGGAGCAGCTATTGGCTGCATGCTGAGGATACAAACTTGAAATTAGAGATGTCTAATGGAAAATAATCATTGTCTTCATATCTGGATCTCCGGTCCAATTTTCAGTTTTCCTATTATGAATGTCAGTGCATCATTTTATCCAATTCATAATTTGCAGAGAATATCGTTTTTCTTTCAAGTAATATTAGTGAAAAGTTACCTCATGGACAACTGCTGGGGTTGGCTTCCCATTCCTCATCTCTCTCCCTGAGTTTCCAATCTGCACTTTGTCCTCTAGTTCTGATGGTACTGATACATCATTTATGTTGCCATTCGCAAGGTCTAGCAAGAACTCTGCTGGGTTCATAGCAATTAGAGGTGAGCATCCTATAGACGAGAAGTAAACCATAGCTTCTGACGCTTTTCCAAAATAAAGCAAGCTTCCTTTCCCTAGAAGAATCAGCTTGTCAAATCTGTGGAAGAGTCTACCTGACGGCTGGTGAATTGTTGTAACTACAGTTTTCCCAGCCTGTATAACAAGAGTCAGGGTGGGTTAGTCGCGTACTAACTCCAGGTTATTTATATATATATATATATATATATGTAGATATCTTGCAGCCTGCTTGGCACATAAAGCATAC